CACGTAAAGGCTGTAAAGTTTGTACTTCAATGTTGAACTTTTTCTCGAACATCTCATTAAATGAAATCATACATTGCAACAATGTTGTATCGTCTTAAAGTATTTGTATATGTGAATGTTTTGGGCGCTTAAAGACTGTTCGTCATTTTCTATCTCGACTTGAAGTATAAAGTCAACCTTTCTGAAAGCACGTGTTATATACATATTTGTTATGCCAATGTACTTCTCTTCATTTATGTTCACAATCCAGTCTGTTGGAAACTTAAACGTTACTCTGTTCCCTTTATTTTGACGTCAGGGTTTTCACTACTGAACGCAACAGTTAAAGGTATTTGTCTATACATTTAATTCGGATAAAAATAAACCATTTACTCTTTCTTTGCTTCAGCTTCTTTAGCTTTTGCTTCAGCTTCTTCTCTAGCTTTCTTCGCCAGCAAACGTGGGTTCTTTTGTCTTTCAGCAGCTAATGCAGCAAGTTGTTTTTCACTAAGTTTTCTCTTTGGTCTCTCTGGCTTTTGTTCTTGTTTTGTTCCTTCAGTTCGGATATAAATTTGCTCACGAATTTCTTTCTTCAATGCTTCAACATCTATGACCCCCTGGGTCTTGTCCGTAGGACTTGTCTGAGTCATTTGACTGCAGATAAAAAACAAAATTTAAACTTTAACCGATGTTAAATGAGCTTGTCAAAATCAGAGCGAGAGTTCATTATATTAAATGACGCAAGAGGAATACAACATCCTTTCTATTACGTAAGTCAGAGTAAAGATGTGTAAAATATACGTAAGAAAAAGAAAGGTTCCATTAGCGAATGCAGAAAGCGACAACATTAAGGTGTATGGCAAGGGTGAAGTCCACGAAGCCCATGTTAAGCCTTCTATTCAAACTGAAAAGTCAATAGAACCAGAAGAAAGAAGCCAGATGTACTTTCAATAACGAACCAAGAGCTTATTGCAAAGTTCGTGAATTTCATTGAAAAACAAACCGAGTCAAAGAACCCTGACCCACCAGTGAAAGAAGTTGAGACAAAAGAGAATGTACAGTTCATTGAAAATGTCAAGAAACAACTTCACCCACGAATGCCAAGAAGAAGAGTGAGAATAATGAAGTAAATAGATATTTTTTATCTGAAGTAAATACATGCAGAACGAACAGCTAAACGAATTTACTCCAGCAGAAGCATATTCATCAGATTCGCTCATATTTCGATATCATAGACAATGCAGTTCAAATTGGTGACACTAATAGAAAATATTCTGACGCAAAGATTCCATCACAACCTGGAACTGCTAAAGATAACACATGGGTAACATTCAATCTCTCACCTCCTGGTGAAAATATGTTGGACCTTTACAATACATTCATTACGTATAAAATGGAAGGTCAATTTATTGTAGATAAAGAAATTGGTTCAGGTTCCAATAAAACAAACCCACCAGGATTTTGGATTGGTTTCGATGACGCTTTCTATGCAGTTGCTGGATATCAAATCCTTGCAAATGGTCGTATCGTATATTCTCAAGACAACGCAAGAGAAGAAGCATATATAACTTCAAACTCACAAACTACCGAACAAATAAAGAAAGTAGATGTTTTCTCAAAGACTCGACATGAAGATGTATGGAGTCATTCGGGAACATGCAGAACAGGACAAATTGTTAGTGGTCCAATTACAGCAGAAAATCATTTGATTTTAAGCTTCGTTTAAGAATTCCTGTTAGAAGATTCCTTCCATTAGAAGCTATTCGATTTATTCCAGCTTTTGCAGGAAACATTCAGCTTAAAGTAAAGTTCAGTAGCGACGCCTTACAATGCACATCTATATCTGTAAATGATATCATTGCTTTCAATCCAACTCTTAAAGTTGCATTTGCTTCAGATTCAAATCCACCGACAAATAATTTGTTCCATGGAATGAACCATTCACTATGATAACGAAGGCAGTAGAAGCTAGTGGAACAGTTACTATTACAACTGTAAACCAGCAACTATTTCGAACAAAGATGGATTTTAATGAATGTTTCATTCATCCAAAGTCATTCTCTTTAGACCCTAACATTTATACAGAACTTTAGAACATTATACAAACGAGGCTTTATGTTTTCCTGTTAAAGTTATGGATTGGATTCCTATGGACGGTTCATTCTCAAAGAATACAGATAGTTCAAGTGCAACATTTACAGCAGCTTATACGCCTATTAATGTTAAAAGTATTGGGCACTATTTAGAAAGAAAGACAACTATTATGTTAATTTTGAGAACCCTAAGTAAATATCTTCAGCTTTCCATGGGAGCTTATGGAAATATGCCTGCAGAACCTGAAAAATCATATGGACCTGTATTTTATGAAATGGTTGCGAACGCCTGCAATACAAACAATGATATGATAGGATTTAATGAAGATGTTATGAGGTCATTGGTGGATGATGGTAGTGTGGAACATAAATGGGATAGCTATGACAACACACATTTCTTATGTGGTTTTCCAACAGAAGTGGACTTTTGCTTCCAGCAAGGTCAAACATCTACTGCTCAATAACATACAAATTGTCTTTTAAAGGACCTATTGAACTAGCAACTGAAAACGTACCAAAGCCATTATTGGATTTATGAGGATTGTTGCTTTGCCATTCAGGTAAGACAGTCAGGCATTCCCATAATAAGATTAGATGACTATAACTTAGCCACGGACGACAGTGAGGAATAAAGGATGAACGTTTATTTTTTAAGCTTATAAATGAGTTCTTCATCAAGCTCTCGCGAACCTTCACCATCTATGAAACAAACTTTACCAAACGATTATGGAGCACCTATTGAATATTTCTTACGAGCTGCACAATGGCAAAGAGCAGTCTCACCAAGGTTAGGTGTTCCACCAGCTCCTGTCAAAAATAGCATTTGGTCAAGTCCTTATATAAAATATGGTCTCCCACTAGGTTTGCTAGCTACAGCAGGAGCAGTTATGATGTTGAAAAGAAATAAAGCAAATGTTGTAAATAATACTGAAGTATGAAGTTAAACAAACTCCAACACCTTCACAAGCAAAACCTTCAATGACTCCTGAACCTATGAAGTACAAACTCCTGTTCAAAAGTCAACTCCTAAACCGACTCCAACATTTAAACCAGAACCTACTCCTCAAATAAATCGTAAAACTCCTGCGTTTCCTTACTGAAAAAATAACGTTATTTTTATTTAATATTAAAAATTTTATTTGATTGAAATGACGACTAAAGTCACTGAAGCAATGAAACAAAAGTTTTTGGTAGAATACATTAAATCAGGAACTATTCCAGAAGGTTTTTACATTCATACTATGAAGGATGGTAGAGTTCAGTTTAGAAAGATAAAGCAACCATTAGATAGAGAAGGTATATTAAGGAAGATTAAACTTCATGAGGACAACATTGCTGAACTTAAAAGAAGTTAGAAGAGTTGGAGAAAGGAAGAGAGTTATAAAGCAATGAATTCAACAAGGTTAGAAATGAGGGTAGAAATGAGGTTAGATCTACCCTTCTACCCTAAATTTATTTTTGCGCTATGTTTTCATACGTGTGAGGGTGGTGATATCATTAATTTTTAAGTTTATTTTTATATAAATGACGAAAACTATTGAGATAACAAACTACAACGGTCATGAGTTCAAGAATTTGTTCTTCGTTCCTCGTGAAAATACATTCTATCAGATACGAGGGAGAAAGGGTAAAGTTAGTTTGAGCGTTTATGAAGGAATGAAGAATGGAAAGTTTATACAAGCATACGATACAAACGGTAAACGTGTTTCATTAGCTTTGTCAAAACTTACTAACATTTATTTTGACAGTGATTTTGACCTATATGAAGAAGAAAGTGAGTCAGAAGATTATGAGCTGTTATGTGAAGCACAGCAATGGGAGGAGTTGCAATACTTTTGTAAGTGAGAACGTTTATTTTTACATTAGTGAAGTCATTAGTGGTTGGCGGTTTGTAAATATTTAATGTTAAGTTAGTGTTGTCGTTTGTGTTGTAAAATATACGTTACTGGTTTTGTAAATATTTAAGGTTAAGTGGTGTACGGAGGCGCGCAGTGCCTCAGTACACGACTTAGCCATACTAACTAACTTTGCAGCATAAGTTAGTTGCTAAAGGAGAGACGACAAGGACTTTGCAGAGCATTTCTCCAGCCTTGTGACAAAATACAATATCGTTTTCTATATCTCCACCTAATTTTTCGAATTTATCAATTCGTGTATTCCTATGTTTCCTGATTTAATCACTATATTTGCAATCCAGGTATTCAGTATAAAGGAATGCATACTCGCAATTGAGTACCCCAGGATATTGAAGAGCCTTCATTCTATTATATATTCTGGTGTAAACTTCTTATAAACTTTTTTTTGTCTGAAATAATCAAGGATATATTGATTGGCATCAAGAAACAACTAATGACAAATTTGAGCAAAATAAACTCTTACGTATTTAATATGAGACATAATGCGTTGTAAGCAGAACTGTAGCGTTTCCAATTATATCTAATCGAATTATATAAAACATCACAAGTTGTTAAAGATTCACGCTCTTTTTGAGCTTGTTGAATTGAATATCAGTTTCCAAAACAACATATTGCCTTAAAGAATTTCAGGGGTTGACAATGATATCTTCCATAGAACTTAAATTCTCCATAACAAACAAATTTATCCAAGTAAACAGCAGCTTTTATACTAAAGAGTTATTATTCTTATTTTTCCATGGATTTGATTATTTGCATAAAAATTCAACCATTTTGACAATGAAAATAGATAAATAGCAGTGAATAGAATATATTTTTCGCTTAATTTCATTCAATATGACAAAGATTTTTCAATTCTCATTTTCTTGACTTGAAAGCCACCATTTATTTAGATTTTGGATTTAGTAAAGCCATGTAATGTTATTTCTACAAAGAAAGTTATAGAGTTTAAAAAATGGGAAACGGACGAAATAATTTTTTTTAGGGAAGTTCAGTTTTTTTAGTTTTAGAATTAATGTGTGCTCTTTGGATTGACCAACACAGACCACACAATTTGGATGATCTTACTATTCAGTCCAATGCAAACGAATTACTAAAAAGTATTAGCGGATCTTTTGATTTTCCACATTTATTATTCTGCGGACCTCCAGGATCAGGCAAAAAGACCCGCGTATTAGCATTTCTCAGAAAACTTTTCAACGCAGAGCTTACACACCTTGCATCTGGCTTCCGCACAATTGAAGAAGGCGATAAAAAGATCGAAGTTCAAGTTACATCATCAGATTTTCATATTGAAATCACACCAGCTGATGCTGGCATGAATGATCGCCATGTCATCTCATACTTTTTGAAAGATGTCGCTGCTTCTCAAGTTGTTGGTGGATTTTCAATCAAAGTCGTAGTTATCAACGAAGCTCACCGTCTTTCCAAGCTTGCACAACAAGCCTTACGTCGTACAATGGAAAAATACGCAAAAAGCTGCAGAATTATTCTTATTGCTGATTCTCTTTCACAAATCATCGAGCCAGTCCGTTCTCGTTGCTTAGTTATTAGAACGCCACGTATACCATCTGCCGACATCGCTACAGCTGTTAAAGAAGTCGCCAGTAAAGAGAATTTCGAAATTTCAGACGAACAACTTACTGATCTTGTTAATGAGTCCATCGGAAATCTCCGCCGTGCCATTAACCTACTAGAAATGCTTTCCATGCAAAAGAAAGGCGGAAGCGTCCAAAGTATTTTGCCAGAATGGGAAAGATACACAGACGAGCTTGTACAGATCCTTATCGAAGGAAAATTACAGACAGAGACAATCAAAGAGATCAGAGTTCACCTTTACGAACTTCTCGTCCATTGTGTCCCTCCAACAGAGATTCTGAGACGTATTGTCCACGGAATACTCCACCAAATAGATTCCAACCTTGTTGAGAAGGTGGCATCAACTGCGGCTTTCTACGAAGCAAGAATGCAACAGGGATCTAAGCCAATCTTCCATTTAGAGGCTTTCTGCGCAAGATTTATTTGCATTTATCGTGAATACTTCTCTTCATGGTAATTTGAGTTCTATAAAAATGTAAATCCTGAAATTTATAAAATTAAATCTTTCTTTTTTTTTAATAAAGTAATGAAAATACAATTTTAGATATGCTATATACATATTTATTCATAACTCACGGCTTGAAAGCTCAATAGGCAAAAATTTTAAAGATTTTGTATCATGAAAATCAATCTTTCTATCTTCAATTGTTCTTACTTTTCAAATATTCTCAATGTTCGTTGATTAAAGCGATATATAAAAGTTATTTTAATATGATTGAGCTATAACTTATGTTAAGAAGCTCCATAAACATACATTGTGTATATTTTCCTCATGATTTTCATAAAATACATTTACTCAAATATATTAATTTGTTAAGCAAACAAATCATATAATTTGTTAGAAGAAATAAAAGATTCATGCATAAAATACATCCAGAATCTTAGAAGACATTGTTTTCGACAACTGGAACAGAACATTCTTTTCTTCTAATAGATTTACTAATGTGGTTGTATCATTTCATATCTATGAATTTAATCTGAATTCATAAATTTAGCGGTCATTGTTTCCCACACATATATAATATTAAATTTTCTCAATCATATAAATAACAACATTTATATAATCAAAAAATTATTTATAAAGTTTTATAATATAAGAATCAAAAAATTTATTTTTTTTTTTATTCCGATGATTCGATGTAAGAATCATATAATTTGCGCTGTGTTGGAGTAGAATCATCCTGTCCATCTCTCCAGTCTGCGTATGCGTCCTCTTGTACAACGTCATCTTCTACGAGTTTCTTCACAACTTCTACGAAGAGTTCCTTTCTGTTGCTGTAATCGACAGCGCAGTACCACTGCCACCAGTAGAGAACATCTGCCTGGTTCTCGCTTGTCTCCAAGTACTTGAAGAGCAAGTCCTCGAACTTATCCAAAGCAGACTGCAAGTCATCTTCTTCATTTGCATTAGACATGTCAATTGCAGCAATGATCAATGCAACTGCGCAGTCCAATTCTATTGCTCCTTCCTTCATCTTGAGGCTGCCGAGTTCTGTTTTGACGTTGTCAAGTCCGCCGTCTTTTGTGATTGCTTGGTTGATGAGTTCCTGTGCGAGTTTGAGGAATTCTTCGTTGATAGGAACATCGCATTTCTCATTCTCGTTTTCGTTATCTTCTCCATCGTTTTCGACATCTTCTTCTTCGTTTTCGAACTGATCTTCCTCTTCTTCCGGATAAGAAGCCTGCAAAATGTCTTCTGGCTCAATTGGAAGTTTGTCTCTCGCCTGGGCCATTCTGAGAAGAGGAATCTCGTGCATTGGTGTCGGGAAGAACTCTGTGACAGTGTAGTTCTCGTCTTCGCCCAAATCAATTGGATCTTCGAACTTTTGCTCGCAGAATTTGCCAAGCCAACTTGGAACATCCGGTGGAAGAGTGACGTCTGTCTCTTCTGTTGGGAAAAGACCATCAGGAAGCAATTCCTGGAAGGTTGTCAAGCGGCGGCACTCAGGAATGTCGCGTTTGACAGTGCATCCGAAACTGATGATGCAACCGTAGTCGATGGTGATGCCGTCGCTGAGAACACACTTGGAGGCAATCAATGACTGATCAATTTTGACGTTATCGCCAATGACAACGTCATCCCAAATAATTGAGTTCTCAATTTTGACGTTTTTACCGATCGTACAGTTAGCACCGATGACAGAGTTCTTAATTATTGTGTTGTCGCCGACTTTCGTGTTGTTTCCGATTACGACCAATGGACCAACTTTGGCGGAAAGGCTTGGGAAGACGTTTTCGTAGAGGTAGACAAGGTCGCGTTTAATTCTGTATGCGGTAGATTCGATGTTTTCTGGTTCTTGAAGGAATCTTGCAAGATCTTCGTTATCTTGGAGATCTGAGCTGATCTTCTTGATAAACTTATCCTCCATCTCTTCTTCTTCATCCATAGGGAAGTCATCGTCCATTGCGGACTTTGTTTCGTATGGTGGGAAGAAATTCATTTCAACTGTAAGAGGATAGAGCCAACGGTGAAGCATGGCGAGTGATGTATCGATGTAGTCTGGAAGATCGTCGATTGTTTTGGCGAATGATTCCTTGCAGTAAAAGATATGAGTAACATGCTTTGTTAATTCCATAACATCGATCTGTGTTGGGATGCAATCGTCGCAGAAATTCTTCCAGTCGAATTGTTCACCGAAATCTGGGAACATCTGGGCTGTGCAGACGTAAACATGAGCATCATGAAGATTTGTAAGAATATGGTAACGCGATACCTTCTTGAAAAAGCCCTTGGTAAGATTGATTTGCAGTGGTGACCTGCCAAAGTTGAATTCAAATTCAGCTGTTGAGCCAATTTGTAAAATCGAGTGTTGCTCGCTTTCCATGACATTATAGGTATTGTAGTTGCCTTGTGTGAATACACAAGTTGCGACAAGCTGCATCTCGTCCTTTTTCTCTTTGGCTACAATAATATCATTAATGTGTCTATGAATAACGGTCTTTAGAGGAACATTGGTAACTAAAGTACCTGGAACAACAACACAGTGCTTGAATGCGTTGTACTGTTGGTTCCACTTATCAATAATTCTCATGCAATCACCAACATTATTGGCTGGTTCCATTGTATCAACAATTTCAATGCCTTGGATCAACATTCTTGATGAACACAAGGATGTAACTTTCTGTATTTGTTCTTTATCGTTGGTTCTGCAAAGAATATAAATTTTTTCGAGACCATTTGAGTTCAACCAGTTAAGAACATATAGCAAAACTGGTGCATTACATAATGGGAATAAGCATGGTGGTAATTCTCCGTTAATTGGAGACATTGTGCAAGCAAATGGATGGCAAAGAACGAATGCAACAGTATCTTCGAGTTCTTTGTTGAATTCTTCTAATTCCTTCTGCTTCTTCGCCTCTTCCTTCTTACTTAAACCTGACTTTTGTTGTTTGTTAGGTTTCCTATTACTCATATTTCTAATTTTGGCTCCTGAAATTTAGCGGTTATACATGACAAATTGAATAAGAAAATTTTGTCTCCGGATGTTATGAAGCTGAATCAACGCGAGTCTAAGCATCATTAATTATTGCTTAGTATATACAAAGTATAATTTTCCTAGTATTTGATTATAAAAAAATGATATTTTGCCTAATTTTTGAAAATTAGAATACACAAAGCTTTATTTATACTTATATATCAAATATATACTTTAATAAGTTTCAACATTCTATTTTAGTTTTTTCCTCTTGTGTCACTTTTATTATCCTAAATTCCTCCAATATGTGTCAAAATATATGGATATTGCTGATGCATAGCAGAACATATGATTTATTATTTTTCATCATTGAGGTTATAAAAAATACGGATTTCAGCTCCGATTGGCATATTTATGAAATCTATACTACTAATAACCAAATATATATTGCATCATTTTTGCAATGAAATACACGTAAAGTTGCCGATAAACTTATTTACACGTTTTTCTTGAATAACATTATGAATAAACCATATCATATGCGTTGCATTAGAATAGTAATAGCATATGAACTATTTTGATGAAAAGAGACGTTGACTTCTGCTTTAAAGAGATTTAACCAATATTCAATATATACACTTAAAATCAATAGAAGTAGATAGTATACTATGTGAACAATACATGTATGTGCAAGAATTTAGCTAGTGGTGAACTTTTTCATTGATTTTTGCACCATGCGAAATAAGAAGTTCGATCGTTTCTTTACTATTATTTTTAGCTCCATAATGAAGAGCTGTTCTCCCATCTTTATCTTTTTCATTGACATTTGCACCATGCGAAATAAGAAGTTCGATCGTTTCTTTACTATTATTTTTAGCTCCATAATGAAGAGCTGTTCTCCCATCTTTATCTTTTTCATTGACATTTGCACCATGCGAAATAAGAAGTTCGATCGTTTCTTTACTATTATTTTTAGCTCCATAATGAAGAGCTGTTCTTCCATCTTTATCTTTTTCACTGACATTTACACCATTGGAAATAAGAAGTTCAGTTGTTTCTTTACAATTATTATATGCTGCATGATGAAGAGCGGTTTGTCTATATTCATCTTTTTCATTGATATTTATACCATTGGAAATAAGAAGTTCGATTGTTTCTTTACAATTATTATATGCTGCATAATGCAGAGCGGTGTTTTCATATTTATCTTTTTCATTTATATTTGCACCATGCGAAATAAGAAGTTCGATCGTTTCTTTACTATTATTTTTAGCTCCATAATGAAGAGCTGTTCTCCCATCTTTATCTTTTTCATTGACATTTGCACCATGCGAAATAAGAAGTTCGATCGTTTCTTTACTATTATTTTTAGCTCCATAATGAAGAGCTGTTCTCCCATCTTTATCTTTTTCATTGACATTTGCACCATGCGAAATAAGAAGTTCGATCGTTTCTTTACTATTATTTTTAGCTCCATAATGAAGAGCTGTTCTTCCATCTTTATCTTTTTCACTGACATTTACACCATTGGAAATAAGAAGTTCAGTTGTTTCTTTACAATTATTATATGCTGCATGATGAAGAGCGGTTTGTCTATATTCATCTTTTTCATTGATATTTATACCATTGGAAATAAGAAGTTCGATTGTTTCTTTACAATTATTATATGCTGCATAATGCAGAGCGGTGTTTTCATATTTATCTTTTTCATTTATATTTGCACCATGCGAAATAAGAAGTTCGATCGTTTCTTTACTATTATTTTTAGCTCCATAATGAAGAGCTGTTCTCCCATCTTTATCTTTTTCATTGACATTTGCACCATGCGAAATAAGAAGTTCGATCGTTTCTTTACTATTATTTTTAGCTCCATAATGAAGAGCTGTTCTCCCATCTTTATCTTTTTCATTGACATTTGCACCATGCGAAATAAGAAGTTCGATCGTTTCTTTACTATTATTTTTAGCTCCATAATGAAGAGCTGTTCTTCCATCTTTATCTTTTTCACTGACATTTACACCATTGGAAATAAGAAGTTCAGCTATTTCTTTACAATTATTATATGCTGCATGATGAAGAGCTGTTCTTCCATCTTTATCTTTTTCATTGACATTTGCACCATTCAAAATAAGAAGTTCTGTTGTTTCTTTACAATTATTTAATACTGCATGATGAAGAGCGGAAGCTTCATCTTGATCTTTTTCATTGACATTTGCACCATGCGAAATAAGAAGTTCGATCGTTTCTTTACTATTATTTTTAGCTCCACAATGAAGAGCTGTTCTCCCATCTTTATCTTTTTCATTGACATTTGCATCATGCGAAATAAGAAGTTCAGTTGTTTCTTTACAATTATTATATGCTGCATGATGAAGAGCGGTTTGTCTATATTCATCTTTTTCATTGACATTTGCACCATGCGAAATAAGAAGTTCGATCGTTTCTTTACAATTATTATATGCTGCATAATGAAGAGCTGTTCTCCCATCTTTATCTTTTTCATTTATATTTGCACCATGCGAAATAAGAAGTTCGATCGTTTCTTTACTATTATTTTTAGCTCCATAATGAAGAGCTGTTCTTCCATCTTTATCTTTTTCATTGACATTTGCACCATTCAAAATAAGAAGTTCTGTTATTTCTTTACTATTATTTTTAGATGCATAATGAAGAACAGAAATTCTATCTTTATCTTTTTCATTGACATTTGCACCATTCAAAATAAGAAGTTCGATTGTTTCTTTACAATTATTATATGCTGCATAATGAAGAGCTGTTCTTCCATCTTGATCTTTTGTATTGATATTTACACCATGTGAAAGGAAATAATTCCAAAGCGATGGAATATTAAACATTGCTGAATAAACAAAACATTGGTTAATATCATTATTTTGATCGAAATAAACTAAAAATAAATCAAGATTATTATAATTTATTAAAGATCCTATATCAATATCTATATTGTACTCATTCATCAAGAATGTAACAAAATCAATGTTGTGTGAAATGATTGCGTATTTCATGCATTTTCTGTCTGGCTTTTGATACTTCAAGCATTCATTTATAATATCTGGGTTTCCTCGTAAAAATGATAATCTTAGACATTTTTCAGTTATTTCTGAGTCAAATTTTGTTCTTAATAACTTGAAACAATCAACTGCTCCATGGTAACAGCATAATTCAAGTAATGAATATCCTTTCTTAGAATGTGGATATAAAACACTGACAAGTTTTTGATTTTCATCAAATTCGTCATTTTCTATATATATAATGAATTTTTCTTTGTCATTATACATAATTGATCTGTAAATCGTATTTTCTAAATGAATTTCGAGACCTTCTAATTTAATTTCTTCAAAATCACGAGTTATGTCTAATTTAATTCCATATTCTTTATAAAACAAGTAGTTAGAAATAATTTGAATATCTTTTACCTTCGTTACATGGTAATCATCGCAAATGAATTTTGCAAGTTTCAAATATGAGTTTGCATAGCGGTTATTATACAGAATGATGCCCAAAATTTCTTTTACAATATATTCTGGGACATATTTCTTTGAATCAATCAACTCTGTTTTGATCATATTGTAAATCTCGGTTAATTCTTCTTCCTTTTCCGTTTTTAACTGATACAATTTAATGTACGAATCGATATGGTATTTGTAGGTAGTTCTCAATTCACTGTATTTGTCTTGACAAAAGTCTTGATCAGACATTAAAAATTTAAAAGTTATATATTAGCATCCAACCATATAAAATATTCTATAATACATTATGGTAAAAGTTATAGTATTTCATATGTGGAAAATGACCCCAATGAGTTAGATCAAAATTATTATTATTTTTTTTATATATAAAATCAGTGATCATGAATTATGTACACTGAATACGACACTAAGATATGATATTTTTCGAATTATTTTATGATTCTAATTGCCATCGATTAATTCCAATCAAATTCTATGAGTAAAACTTGCAACCTAAGGCATATTTGGCTCAATTCTGCAAACTTCTTTTTTCAATTCCAACTCCGCACTGTTTTTGGTGATAAATCAATTTTCATGCAGGGAAAATATACAAATAACATATAGTAGTCCATAATGGTGTAAATTATTATAGATATTTTCCACTCATGCGCATAAGATAACGATAAAGAATCACTTTAAACAACTTTAAAAACTGCGAAATAACTAAAACTTCAGAAGATGTGTACGAGAAGCCTTATGCTTCATTGTGATCAGTATGAGCACTTGAGGTTAAAGTAATAATGATTGAATCAACTTTAATAAAAACACAATTATCAATTAACATTAAAAATTACAAGAAATATTTATTAAAATATAAAAAATAAAGCCATATATAAAATATACAAAATTACAATCTGTGCGCTCCTGGTCTGATATTCTCTAATATCGCAAAGAAAACCCACACAGCAGCTCTTCCATTTGGATAAGGGAAGATCTTAACTTTAACAGCAAATTCTATATTCTTCTTTTCAGTCTTATATACTTCTCTAGCTATAATTTCATCCGTTACTTCTTTTCCAATGCATTTCTTATCTGTAAAAGGCAAGCAGAATGGGGTACCAAATACTCTAATAAGTGGGAAGTCATTTTTAATTTGCATATTAATATTTTCAAATTCTCTCTGTTGTGTTCCTGTTGAAGCAGATATTTCACATAACTCTAAAGCGCGCTCTAACTGAGTACCAATCAAAGATGTATTCCATAATGATCTTTGTGATGATTCACGCAATCTTTCAACGCAAGCTCTGATATCTGATTCTATCTGAGCCTGAAGAACATCGATATCTTCTCTCGACAACTGCTTTGAATAGTTAAGATGTTGCTCTTGAGGAGAATCGAATGGTGGAAGATCTCCGTTCTCTGGCCAGAAAGGATGCCAATCTGATGTTGCTTGGAAATTCCATTTGAGTTTCCATGGTTCTGGGGTTGCTTGAATGTTTGCCCAGACATTTGATTCATTGGCAACGCAACCAACAGAATACATCGGACAAGCAGAAGATGTTGTTGGGAATGATCTTCCTGTATTTGGATCCCAAAGTGTCATATTTCCTGAGCTTCCGTTCTTTGTCAAAACATAGATTGTTCTGCCGTTATCAATTGTGTAACCGAAAACTAAGAAAGCATTGATATCTTTGTACTTGAAATAGTTGCAAAGCAAAGATGCGTGTTCTTCTTCATCACCTGCATTCAAGTTCAAGAATTGCTGAGAAGTATTCCACAAATCTCCGATAATTCCATAGACTTTGTTATCAGAAAGATTTGGAATCAATGAAACAAATCTTGCGAGTTCTTGTGGTGATTTGTTCATCATTTCCTCAGGAGGATTCTGTCTCATGATCATTCTACAAATAAGGAATGGTTTGTAGTTCTTTGGATGTGTCAAAAGAGACAAATATCTTGGTCTTGTTATTTCATTTTCTAACATTGTTTTCATCCATCTTTCAGCTCTTTCTGTGATTTGTGTTGTTTCGGCAGAATCCTTTCCTGTGACAAGAGGAGAGAACTTCATTGGAGGATCGATTGTGAAGAAGACTTTCATCTGCATATCACCATTTTCGTTCTTGTAGCCAAGAATAAATGGTGGAGTATTAAGTGTTATGATGCCATCAACTTTTCCACTGGCCCAAATTGCTTCGACAGGGAATGTGATTGATGCAAGACTTCTGTTTTCTGTAACTTGGTGTGTTGTCTGTTGTTCACGATCATCTTCAATGACTTGGAATGAAATCTTATCGAAGAGATCGATTCTGATGTCTTTCTGCTGCAAATCTGAGATTGTTGGAGTTTCGTTTGCATTCTTTGCAACAGCAAATTGGAATCTTTGGTTCCATTCTGGTGCTGCACCAGTAATTACATCTGTTTCTTTGACTGTTCCATCGTAGGTGACACGAGCAAAACAAGCAGATGTTTGTTCTGTTGCACTTGAATAAACAAGACTGCTTTCTGTGCCAGGACCTGTTCCAATGACAACTCTCTGAGGAACAGTTGACGTTCTGATAATGTGAATAATGATCTTTGAGTACTGCTGGATATTTGATGATGGAACACGTTCCTTTCTGATTGGTTTGAGTGGTCTGAACATGAAGAATCTTGCGAGGATTGCAGCAAGAAGAGATGGCAATGTAGGCATTGGCGCTTCTTTGACAATATCTGTATATTGGAGTTGTGGTTTGACAACAGCTGTTTGGACATCTTCCTTATCTTTGACATGCTCAATGTAATCATCAGGAACTGTTTTGCTCTTCTTCTCCATCATTTCTTTCCTCTTCTTTTCATCTATCATCTGTTGTATACGAAGTTTAGCTTGGAAATTAACTGATGCAGGAACAAATGAGCTCAAACAAACAGCATTTGCTGCGGAATCCAGTCTGAAATTATTGTTAACTCTTTCTTTTGCATGTCTAGAGGCAATCGTAGCAAGGTTAGCAACAACATAAGGATCATTTGGATCAAATGACTTTGCATCGTCTTCATATCTAGGGGCAGAAATGAATTGGGAAGGATCTCCAAGCAATCTCTTCTTAGTTCTTGCGTTCTGATCTGGAATGGAAACCAAAATCTTTTCATTTTCTTCTGGTTTGATGTAGATTCTGGCTTCAACAGTACCAGTAATGAGATTTCCATTAGGAAGCTGGAAGTCGGATGAGAATTCATATGAGAAAAATTCAGGTGGAGTACCAACATAAACAGGAATTGAAACTCTGGCAACAGCTCTTTCTTTTTTCTTTGTATCCATCTCCCAAACTTCAAGAATAATTGATGATGGAAGTCTTGTTGTCTGTATTTCGAACTGCTTATTGATTAATGATTCAAAATTAGAAGTTAATTTTGCATATTGAGTGTTGAAAACACTCTGATTTGGAATTATAATTCTTACTGATGTTTGAGTATTTTGAATATCTGATCTTCTCTGCTGTTCTTCTGCTGGAACTTGATCATTTGGAGTAATTGCAGCGTCCGATGAGAAAACTGCAAACCATTTTGGATCACCTGGGTTTCTGAGATATAAGTTTTTACGCTTGGCAATGATTTCTTCTTGGACTTGCTTGATATCAAGCTTTGGCTCTCCGAGTAATTCAGCAAGTTGAATTGTTAAACGTGCTCTTGTTTCAATTTCCTTATTTAGAATCTTCTTTTCGCGTTCAACTTCTTCTTCTGTTGGGTTTGCTTTCTGCCATCTAAGTAAAGTATTTGTAGAAGTATAGTTTGCACGAGAATCTTTAAGATCATGACTAATACGAATAAGTTCATCACGCAAACTGCCTTGAAGACTGCCTTCATTATCGTAATCGTCGAAACTTTGAAGTAATTTCTGAATGATGACAATTTTCTTTGCATCTTCCTTTTCGTTATCAAGCTCTTTTAAGAGGGCATGTTGTCTTTTCTGGAAAAGCTGTCTTTTGTTTGCAGATAAATTTTCTTGATATGCCTTGTAAGCCATGTTAAGACGGAACGACAAAATATCCTCCGGTGAGGAAAGAGAGTGAATGAGAAAATGAACACTACGAATTTCTAATATTAATTTCCTTGCAATATCAGCATCGACTATTTCTTCATTTTGTGCTGCATGAAACATCAAAAGACCAGCACCATCATGACTGGGTGGATCTATTGGGAATGGTGGTGGAATTTGGATGACAGTAGGCGTATCAGCACGAATATGACCATCTGCTTCAAAAAATTGTTGTCTATTGGCATCAGCCCATAAGCATCTGTTCTCTAATCTAGTTACATTACATGGTTTGCATAGAGGTAAATCTGGAATCCAAAAACCTTCTTCTGCTTTATTTTGAGGTACAAATTGAACATTATCTTGTTGTAATGGATATTGCTCTGTAGCAAGAGCCAAAAACTTCTGATCTGTTGGTGCGATTTCATCTGTAATAACGACTACTTCTTTTACTAAAGGTTTTGCTTCGATTTTTTGATCTTCTTGCTCCTGAACTTGTTCTTCAGCAATTTCAGTTGGAGTAGTTGGTTTTTGAATTTGTAGTGTTGTTGTACTTAAATCTGATTTTAATTTTTGTGCCATGAGAGCTTTTAATCTCTCTTGGATAGTTGCATCTGCACCACTTGGCTTTGTGGGACTTGGAGGGGCTTGGGCATCTTCTGGAGTTTGCAAATAAGGAACGGCGATTTGAGATTCGGGTCTACTATTTTGCAAATCCGAAAGATAACTTCCACCCTTCTTCATCTGCTCTCTGGCGAGCTGCAGAATCCTGTTAGATTGTTTAATGACATCGGCAGGCTGGGATTCGGAAGGATTCTCAGCCATTTATTTTTTAAACGTTCACCAAAATTTTGAAGAAAAGAAATCAAATATAACTAAAATCTGATACTAAATCGATATATCACAATTTCTTGAGATTTTTTAAAATAAAAAACCGTTTTTTGAAATTTTTAATATAAATTTTCATGAGCTCTGATTCTAGTCCAGTATTGGAGCATGTTAATCTCGCAAGAGAGCATGCAAAGCTTGAAAACTACGATGCTGCACTGAAATATTTCTCAAATGCTAGACAAGAAGTTGAATATGAGATCGAATCCTGTAGACAACCTTCAGAAATTACGAAATGGAATTCAATGCTTAAAGATATTATTGCGGAAGAAGCTGCTGTAAGACGCATTAAGAGTGTACTTGATGAAATTCTGGATAAATTAGATCAAGGACCACCAGACAATTCTCAAGAAGAACCACAAGCACCAGAAACTCCATTATGGACTCGCGTTGATGAGGAAGGTGAGGACGAATCACCTGTCATCAGAGCACCAGAAAGGAGACCAGTTGCTTATGCTGCCAAGCAAAAGAAAAGTCCTGCAGCACGCGCACCAGTTGGTGTTGGACGTTCTCGATACGGCGGTGGCGGCGGTGCTAAGCCACCAAGTGCTAGAGGTGCTGTGAAAGCAGTTAATCGTCCAGCTCCTCCTCAGAAAGTTAATGCAGCACAACCATCAAAGGCACCAGAAAAACCAAATCTTGATCCATCTACAAATCCATTAGTTCAACAAATTATAGATATGGGTATTTTAGTTCGTGAGCCTAACGTTCAATGGGAATCAATTGCAGGCCTCGGTCCTGTTAAGCGACTTTTACGTCAAAACCTTGTAATTTTACCAATGAGACCAGATATTTGCAAAGGTCTTCTCGCACCTTGGAAATCTGTCCTCTTCTACGGTCCACCAGGTACAGGTAAGACATTTATTGCAAAAGCTGTTGCTACTGAATGTCGTAGAACCTTCTTTAACGTTACATCTGCTACAATTACATCAAGATTCCTCGGTGAATCCGAAAAACTTGTTTCCCACTTGTTCGATCTTGCAGATCAGATGGCTCCTTCTACGATTTTCTTCGATGAAATCGATGCTGTCGCTTCCCAAAGAGGAAGTGGCGGAGAACACGAAGCTTCTCGCAGAATGAAGGCACAGCTCCTCACACGCCTTGAAGGCATTGATGGAGCTTCAGACAATACCGGCATTTTCGTACTTGCTGCAACAAATTTCCCCTGGGATTTAGACGAAGCGCTTCTTAGAAGATTCCAAAAGAGAATTTATATTCCTTTGCCAGATGTTGAAGGTAGAAAACAAATTTTGAAGATGAATATTTCAGATTTAATTGATGATGATTTCGATTTAGACTTATTTGCAGAAAGGCTTGATGGATATTCTTGCGCTGATATTGCAAACTTATGCAGAGATGCCGCTCAAGCTGTTTTTGATAAACAAACAGCAAATTTGGATACTCAAGCTTGGTTAAACATGCCAATTGAGCAGGCAAGGGTTGTAATTACAAATCAGGACTTTGAACGTGCTATGTCTCTTAGAAAGAGTTCAGTAGACAAAGCAACTCTCAAAATGTACGAAGAATGGAGAAAATCAAAAGGTGCCGAATAAGAATTATAATAAAATATGTTATAATATACTATTTTTGCAAATAAGAAACCATATATTTCCGATTTTAAAACAAAATTTTTTGATTTAATAATGCTATTGAGCTTATTCTCCAAGATGAAAGAAATAACTAAATTACTGACACTTCATGGAACAATTCTATAATCTTGATTATATAATTGGTGATGATTTTATATTTTTCTCGAAATGATCAAGGAAAACATGTTATTTGGAATAAACAATTTTAAAATTTCAGTATCAGTATATCTGTGGATGATATATGGTATCAAATGAGGAACCTAATATATGAAAATCTACGAGTATTCAACGTTAGTCACTCACAAACATACAATATACATATTCTGTTTAAAGATGTCATAAACTTATTCATATATACAAGCTATTGTATTGGCATATAGAACTGTCATTAAAAACTTTCATTGTATAATGAACCAAATCATATTTCTTTCTATGCCATCATGCAAATAATGCAAATCCACAGTAAAATACCACACTTGCATTCAATGACAAATTTATTAGATATTTATAGATATTATTCATTATTGAATAAAAATGTATGAAAACCGAATAAATTATAATAAATGGTGATTTTAAAATTAAAAAATAAAATTTACCAATAATTGGTGAATTAATTTCATGAAGAAAACAATAAGTCCATGGTAATAACATATATTAAGGGTGCACACGAGAGGATCATGTAAACTTCAGAATTTAGAACCTTATTTTTAGGCATTATCTTGGCTACCTATTTAGGCTCGAAAAGCAAAAAATATCAAAAAATACAACTTGACTCCATTATGACCCTTTCATGGAGGTAGTTTTTATCCGCTAGTATTTTCCCTTTGAATCTCTTTACAATTCGAAATCAAATTCAAACCTCAGTAGAAGAAAGGAAGAATCGACTTACTACGGTTATAATACGAATAAATACATATATTTAATTATTTTTATTTACATAATAATTGTTTGAAGCTCATATTCCAACAAATTTTTAAATAAAAACATTAAAATGTTGAAAATGTTCATATATTTTAATAGGGTTTTGGCACTTTATTGAGGAATTACTACATACATAGTCGAACTGAACTTGATATTTTGAAATTTAAATTATTTATCAAAATTAAAATTTAACTTGAAATTTATAATTATTTAGTCATATTTTGCATAATTCTAAGTAGATTTTGTAAAAAATCAAGAAAGAAAAATTTTAACGTGCTTTATTTTTTCTTTTTTATAATAATACATATTATTATATAATTAACATATTCATAATGTTTCACCCTTTCAAAAATATAATCCTCCTCTCAAATAAACGTACATACGGGTGGCCTCTTTTTTCAAAAAATTAAAATTTGAAATTTTGGGCTCAAATATTAGAGATTTTTTCAACCTTCAACGATATATGTTGTCTATATCAGACCTCCTTTCTTTTTGATACTTAACATTGTTCCTAAATCTTAGCCGTTAAGGCTGTTCTGAAAATATTTTTTTTTCGAAAAAATTCGAAAAAAATTCTTAAAATTCAAAAATCCCTTAATTCCTGAGGATTTTGGAAAAAAGTTTTTACATGAACATGTGTATATTATATGAAGTATATTGATAAGGTAAAAATCAAATTTTATTGCATATTCATCGAGAAAATAAACTAACGAATCCCTCAAAATTGAGAGGGCAATCCTCCTCCTCTCAAATAAACGTACATACGGGTGCACCCTTAACTTATGCAGGGAAAACGTTGTTGTTGCCCGCGTCAGCATCTTCATCGAACTCATCTGCAAATGGATCGTCATTTGCATCTTCATTGTAAAGTGGGTTATCATTCTCCTGCATAGCATTATCATAACCATTATCCCAGCCCTCAACATCTTCTTCATTGAATTCCTTAGCCTTCTTGGAAGCTTCGTAAGCAATGATAGCTGCGGCAGCAATTGCAGCAACACCGACAGCAATACCAGCACCAATATAGATCCATTTCTTCTTGTCAGCATCTTTCTTCTTGCTAGAAACTCCAGCAGCGGCGTTATCACCGAATGCTTGGGAGTCTGATGCAGATGGTGATGGTGTTGTTTTACCATTACCGCCATTTCCACCAGCTTCCTTAGTGTTTGTAACAATAAGAATGTATGTTGTTGTATTGGTGTATGATGTGATATCATCACCATTACTATCTGTTGACTTTGCTTCAGTAATGGTTGTTGTCGTTGTTTCTACAATTGTTGAATCAGATGGGATCACAAATGAACTGTCACTGGGGTCATATTCGTTTTCAGCAGTTGCGCGTGGGGTTGGAACAGGAATTGGTGTAACATCATACTTTGTGACGTTAAAGTAATATTTAGCATCATATGAAATTGCATTGCGCTGATCCTTTACCTGGAATGTGATGAAGTTATGACCAGCTGGAAGTGATTTGTGAACTTCATATTCAAATTCGAAATACTGCCATGTTGTATCAGCTGTCAATGAATAGAATGAATTGAATGGCTCAAGTGGTGGGGATTCTGGGAGCTTATAAAGAATTGTAAGTGTATCACCTCTATCGAGATCACGAACATAAGCCTTAATTTTAACTTGGTCATGGAAGTAAAGGTTCTGGATTTGATATTTTTCAAACTTGATTTCTGGAGTATGCAATTCAATGTAATCGAATGGATGGACGATTTCATTGGATTTAACACCCCATTCATCTTCAGCCCAAATATATAATGTATGTCTTCCATAGGAAAGACGAGATTCACGAAGTGGGAATGTTTTACGGAAGTCCTTTTCCTGACGGTTGCAGATAATTTCATCATGATCTGCACTGAAGTCCCAGTCATCATCGAACCTGTAATGAATGTTAGCCTTTGTGTCATCCCAAATGATACCCAAAACTTCGACGTTACCACCTGTGAAGTATTCTTGACTTAATTGATTAACAATGCGAATACGTGGCTGTTCATTTACAAGAAGTCTCTTAGTGAATACATTAGATTTCATCTCATATCTATCCTTAGCCTGGATTTCGAGATCATAAGCACCAACTTCTTGTGGTAATTCGATCCCAAATGAGAAATCTGTTGTGAAGACTCCATCGAAATTATTTGTGGGGAGATTTGTGAAGATTGAGTGAGTTTCATTTCTAAACTTATACCAGCAGTTAATAATATCTTCCTTATCTGTTTCTTTCAAGATACCAGTGATATTGACCTTTTGTTTAGGATTGTAGTTTTCTTGGAAAGTATTAGTGACCTCAACAACTGGTGGAGCCATCAAGTTTTCACCGACACCGAGAAGTACTGCAAATCTTTCTGTTTGATTTCCTCTGATTGGTCTCTTCCACCAGCCAAATGAGAAGGAAGAGTCATAACCTTTAAGTGCTGTGGTTCTTGTTGTGTTTTCCCACTTATGCTCTTTAATGTAACTTGTCCATTGACCAAACCAAAATGTGTCAACATTTGTGACTTTGAATGCATCACGAACCATGAGAGTTAATGTGTAGCTTGTATAATCATCGTGCATTGTAAAACCGCGTTTGTTTACATAATCGTCTGCATAAGCTTTGACATCAGCATAGTCGTTGTTAGCAATCATGACATCAGTGTGAGAAGTAAGAGAGAAATAATGAGGTTCTGTTGGGTTATTGTTTGTAGCAAACCATTCAACTAAAAGGAAGTTATTCTTCTTAGAACCAAATTCTTCTGGATGTATAAGATTTGTTCTGACTGTGATATCTCCATATGTGGCAACACCACCATTTGTACCAAGGATTCTTGTTTCTGGACCATCATCAACCTTAAAAATTGGCCACCAGCCACCTCTTCTATATGTAGTTTGGAAGTGCTGTCCAGCGGCATTAACATACTGGATTTCGAAGTCTGCCTTGTAGGAATTCCAAATCTGGTAGTTTACGAAAAGCCAAGTTAGTGTATCTGAGCCTGCCATTAAAGTAATGATAAAAACGGTTAATTAATAATTTTGTGAAGGTATTGAAAAGTGAAACAATTTTGATAGGGATAAAATCTTAAAATGAAAATTGAAAAGATAATATATTTTAGCTTAAATTTAAGATGGGATGAATAAGAAAGTAGTAATGAGCATATATGATGATTGTTCAGCCAAATTTCTATGAAATATTAAATTAATCATCTTTTTATAAGTGATGAAAAGCATATTATGCTAGTTTGAGTTTAATGTTTTTCAATTATTTATAAAATTCAGATATCATTCAATTGATTTTTGATATGATCATCATTTAACCGTTGTTTAAGGAAAATGTAATCCAATTTGTAAGCACTATAAAATTGTAATAAACAGAAATTCATCAAAAGTGACAGCTCTCAATTTTTTGACATTTGTAAATTCTAAATTGAATGAGAAAAATGAAATAATACTAAGCATAATACAATATTCTAGATTTAATTATAATTAGGAAAAAGTTAGTTTTGAGAGTACTTTTCGTAGGCATATAGAATGAAATCTTCTGAAAAATAATATCACATAAACTCATATTATTTTCTAATATATAACTATTTTATATAAAAATCAAATTCAATGATCTTAAAAGCGAAGGATAAACCTGTTATAGACCGAAAATAGATTTTTTCGGTTTTCTCTTCAAATAATTGAAAGAATGATACTATTATAGGTTTATTATATTATATAGCATATAATCATGCTATAGCCGAAAATTATAAGTTTTGAGAAGATTGAATATAACACAAATAAATTTGAATGTAAGTTAAATTGCTTGTTGTTTTTAATAGCAATTTAATGAGAAATCCAATATTGCAAAATTCAAATTGAATGATTGAAAGAACAGAAAAAGTCATTCTTTTCAATTTCGAATATGTTTCATTGTATTTATAATTATATGGCAAATAAGATATTTAAACTTGATTTTTGAAGGAAAATTCACAAAATTGAATGAATTCAAATAATTTTTATTCAAAAATAAACTAGTTATTTGAGTTAATACTAATTATCTATTCAAACTACAAAGTTTGTAATTTAAAATATTTTGTGAGATCAGATTGAATTAATTCAAGGTTCTTTTCAATTAATATTAATGACCATATTACGCATTTTCGAACATTCTAAACCAAATATATAAAAATGGGAGACGAATGTTAAATTTGCTAGACATGGGGGAGTTGTCTGCAAAGTTTTAGCTCTTATCTCTAACAAAAAATTAATTTTTAAAAAAATGACCGAATACGTTTCACAGCGAGAAAAAAATAAAAGGCAAGATAGAATTTTCTAGACATAAAGAAGTTGTTTACCGAGTTTTAGCTCTTATCTCTAACAAAAAATTAATTTTTAAAAAAATGACCGAATACGTTTCACAGCGAGAAAAAAATAAAAGGAAGATAGAATTTTCTAGACATAAAGAAGTTGTTTACCGAGTTTTAGCTCTTATCTCTAACAAAAAATTAATTTTTAAAAAAATGACCGAATACGTTTCACAGCGAGAAAAACATAAAACTGTACGCTGATTTTCATTTTCATTTCCAGTCACTTTACTTATTATTTTTTCTTTTTTCATTTTAATTATAAATTATTTCATAATACGTTTATTTACGTTACCATTTTCTTTATTCTTTTGAATTCCATACTAGACACTTATAGAATATTTTGATTGTTAACGTACTTCATTAGAATGAATCCTTACAAAGGGTATGTCGATCGAATTTACCTAATTGGTATTTCCAATCAGATTGAAGAAGGTAAAATGACATGGGAAGAAGCTTGCACCATGTTCCCATCGCCCCAACCCTTCAATCAAATGATTTCAAATATTTAGATGTTTCAAAATCTTTTTTACAAAATCAATTTAGCTTACAGAATATCCCATTGCCTAAAGGCAAGAAAGGTCGTAGGGTCAATCCCTACGACCAAATCAAAGCTCTTGCTGTGATACATGACCACTGGGCCTTTCCATGTGGTCAACAAAACAATGGAAACGTTTGAAATTACAACAAATTGATGTATCTTATAGAGAAGTACGCAGATACTTCAAAGAAAATCATTTCACCAAGACGCGATTAGAGCATGCCGGGCCAGAAACAGCAGTAAGATATTGGGCGCTTTCACCCAATCTTATCTGGCACGCAGATGTTCATTATTATAGGGGTGTTCGTGGCCAGTATATTTATGGCATAATCGACGATTTTAGCCGCAAAGTCCTAGCGTGTATACAAATACCAGATATGCTGGCAGCGACGACAGCGAACGTTGCGGCTTCCGCCTTCATTGAATTTGGCGCCCCTTATTGTTTCTGGACCGACAACGGTTCAGAAAATAGGGGCGCCTTTCAAGATCTACTTGATCTTTGGGGCGTCCAATGGCGGCATACAGACTCTCATTCTCCCTACCAAAATGGAAGATTGAGAGATTCTGGCCGACATTGGAGCGCTGCCAAAGCATTCAGGCTATTCCTGCCTTTATTTGGGAGTACAATAATAACACACCGCATGAAGATCTCCCAATTAATCCATTAACTGGAACAAATTACACGCCAAATCAAATGTATCAGCTGAAACCGAAATACACAAATGCAGATACAGAAAGGTTGTGGCAAATATGGGATACAGATACAGGCATGACCGCTGTTGACACATTCACAGCGTAATAATAAACATAATTTTTAATTTCATTTTTAACAAGTTTTTTTAAATGTATGTAATGAATAATTCATTAGAATATGATAATGCACATTGTAACAGAATAGAACAATCACCAAATTTTTTTTTGAAATTAAAAAATAAAAGTAAAAAGTATAAAGTAATCTAACCAAAAAAGATATTTAAAAGAATTTTGGAAAAAACAGAATAAGGATAATGATATTATTTTAGATACACAATCGATGTACTGAAGAATAATCCGGTAAAATGATGATATAAAATTAGATTATTTTACAAGTAGCTAAAAGAATAAAACTATAATATAAAATAAATGAAGTTTAATGAAACAATAAAGGTTAAATAAATAATAAAATTTTTTTTTTATATCAGTATTGAGAAGAAGTAACAGCTGACACTTGGTAGACAACTTCTTTATGTCTAGAAAATTCTATCTTGCCTTTTATTTTTTTCTCGCTGTGAAACGTATTCGGTCATTTTTTTAAAAATTAATTTTTTGTAGAGATAAGAGCTAAAACTCGGTAAACAACTTCTTTATGTCTAGAAAATTCTATCTTGCCTTTTATTTTTTTCTCGCTGTGAAACGTATTCGGTCATTTTTTTTAAAAATTAATTTTTTGTTAGAGATAAGAGCTAAAACTCGGTAAACAACTTCTTTATGTCTAGAAAATTCTATCTTGCCTTTTATTTTTTTCTCGCTGTGAAACGTATTCGGTCATTTTTTTAAAAATTAATTTTTTGTTAGAGATAAGAGCTAAAACTTTGCAGACAACTCCCCCATGTCTAGCAAATTTAACATTCGTCTCCCATTTTTATATATTTGGTTTAGAATGTTCGAAAATGCGTAATATGGTCATTAATATTAATTGAAAAGAACCTTGAATTAATTCAATCTGATCTCACAAAATATTTTAAATTACAAACTTTGTAGTTTGAATAGATAATTAGTATTAACTCAAATAACTAGTTTATTTTTGAATAAAAATTATTTGAATTCATTCAATTTTGTGAATTTTCCTTCAAAAATCAAGTTTAAATATCTTATTTGCCATATAATTATAAATACAATGAAACATATTCGAAATTGAAAAGAATGACTTTTTTCTGTTCTTTCAATCATTCAATTTGAATTTTGCAATATTGGATTTCTCATTAAATTGCTATTAAAAACAACAAGCAATTTAACTTACATTCAAATTTATTTGTGTTATATTCAATCTTCTCAAAACTTATAATTTTCGGCTATAGCATGATTATATGCTATATAATATAATAAACCTATAATAGTATCATTCTTTCAATTATTTGAAGAGAAAACCGAAAAAATCTATTTTCGGTCTATAACAATTTTTCAACCCAACCTTAGTTGGTTTGGGAATTTTTCCTTAATGTCCTAAGTAATATATGTACTAAACAGAAATTCATCAAAAGTGACAGCTCTCAATTTTTTGACATTTGTAAATTCTAAATTGAATGAGAAAAATGAAATAATACTAAGCATAATACACTATTCTAGATTTAATTATAATTAGGAAAAAGTTAGTTTTGAGAGTACTTTTCATAGGCATATAGAATGAAATCTTCTGAAAAATAATATCACATAAACTCATATTATTTTCTAATATATAACTATTTTCTAATATATAACTATTTTATATAAAAATCAAATTCAATGATCTTAAAAGCGAAGGATAAACCTCAAAATTTACGATATAATGAGTGGGAAATAATGCTTATCTATCATAAAACCATATGAAATATCAATTTTTGCTTTACGCCTAATTTTTGACGACAATTAGCAAAAAATGTTAAATGTTAACACTCAGTCCATTTGAATATGAAAAATAAAATTGACTTTGATTAAATGCTTTTATTTATCATGCAATTCTTCTTGCGACCAAAGATTTGAATAAAATTTCAAAAAATAAGATAGCTTAAAAAATAATATACGGTAGTGTTTACTAATAGATGAATAGTATATAAATTCTATTAAAATGGATTTGATCCAAAAAAATATATAAAATTTGATCATAAATAAAATTGTTTAGTAGTCATTTAAAATGATGTAATTATTCAAATTTTGCTAAGACCCATTCGTCGTTGATATATAACTCCCATTTTTGCATTTCTGGCTCGTACCCAAATTTTGAAACTTCGAATAATTCGTTAGGAGTGTAATTACTATTCGTTTTTGGATTAATATCGAGAGATAAATGTGGTGTATTGTTGTATTTTTCAATGAACTGCTGAACTGAGTCCTTGATTTGTTGAATATCATCCAACTCGTCTGGCAAAAACTTTTCT